TTATCTAGTAGTGTAGGCACATTCCATGTGCCTAAGGTGATCGGTGTCACCTTAGATTTTTCTTTCTTTTATTTCGACCGTAGGTGTGGGATTCCCGCCAACCGCGGCTTGCTGGCCAGGATGAAGGTTGAAGCAGGCTTTTTTTGGGACACCTTTTCTAGTCCCTTCCTCATGTGAGGTGAGCAGTGCATCCCTAAAGAGGGCTGCTCAGACATTCAGGTAGACGCCGAGTTCACTGCTGCTTCAATTAGTACGAAAGCAACCATTAGACCTGGGCCGCCTGTTTTCAGGTCTGCAACTACAGCTTCCAGTGTATCCTGCTGCTTCGTCGTTCGCCCATCGCCACAGGGCTTAAGGCTTAGCTTTTAGGTTAGGTGGTGTTGTCAAGACGTATGCAAGAATTTATTATAGTGAGGAACAGCTGGCAGACGTCAACCTCACTCTTCTCTGAAATCACAGGGATCCAGTGGCAAGACAGTGTCGAGACGACTGGTGGTGACCTCAGATGCAGGAGTATTCGGTTACTGATAGATGTTATGGATTCCATCAACGGAGCTCCACCCGGAACCAGACAAGGATAGTTTGGGAAAGTAAATTACCAAAACGGAAGAAGATGGATGGAGGATGAAGGCAGCACAATGGCGAGTCATGGCAGAGGGACCCTGGGACCAACTAACCTAAAAGAAAAGACAGCACCTGCTCTAACTGCACTGTTCTCCAGCAGTTTAAGGAACAAGTCCAGCCGGCACATAACTCACAAGATGCTCATGAGAGACCAGGCATCTAACCTACAACGGCCATGAATCGCCATGTGTTGCCTTTAATGTTTTGGCAATGCTGTCAACCTCTCAAAGATGGTTGGATGAGATAACTTCTCAGAGATGGAAAGATGAGATCACTTTGTCTGGGCACGTCGCTGGCAGTACTGTCTACGGCATTACAGATAGCAAATGTTGATTGTGATGATGATAATAAATGGCCAGACACTGTTAGACAAAGGCTATTAATTTGTGTGCGAATTTGAAGGGAGTGTATGCCGGTGAAAGAAGACAAAAATAGATGGGCATTTTGTTAGCAGTCAGGACAGGTGGTTTCGCGGCAAAGGTGTAATAAGGAAGCGACGTGTGATTTGGTCAATTATACATGAAGGAAAACCGTTTTTGGTGAGTGACTTTCTGGTAAATTCGAGTTGTGTATAAAAATTTTCGTAAGTAGAACAAAGGTTGAAGATGCGTGAAGTAAGCAGGAGACTACTGAACGTTTGTAAGTAAGTGGGATGAAGCTGTGGAAGTTGGTGAAGAGGGCAGTGAAAGTAGGTTTGCGGTAGACGGAAGTGGCGAATTTTCCATGAGTGCGAGAGATATCAATGTCAAGAAATGAGAGCTTTCTGTTTTGTTCGACTTCAGCTGTGAAAAAGATGTTAGGGTGTTGTCGGTTCAGATAGTCAAGAAAGAGAGGGACGTTATCGGAGAAATGAAAAAGTAAAAAACTGTCATCAACGTAGCGTCGGTAAAGTAGTGGTTTGAATGAAGAAGGACAATTATTAAGCCAGGATTGTTCGCGAAAGGACATGAATATATCAGCAAAGAGAGTGCCCAATGCACTGCCCATAGCCACACCATCAATTTGCTGGTACATTTTCCCGTTAAAGATGAAAAAGTGACAGTTCTTAACAGTTAGAGAGAGTAGTTTTTCAAATTCTGTTTCAGTGAGTCCGTTGAAGTACTGGTGGTTGTTAAAAATGCTTTTGGATATTATGTGGATGGTTTTGTCGACAGGTATGTTAGTAAATAGGGATACGACATCAAAACTAGCAAGGAAAACATTACTGGAGTTGATATCGCAATTTAGGATTTCTTCAACAAAGGAGAAAGAGTCTTTGATGATGAGGTTGCTTATAGTGAAGGGTTTTAGGAGTGGGCTGAAAAACTTTGCTAGTTTATACGAATAGTGGTTAATGGAGGAAAGAATTGGTCTGAGAGGGATGTTACATTTATGTATTTTAGGAAGACCATACAATATACCTATTCGTTAACCAGTGGGGTAAAGTTCTTTGTAAGTTTCTTGGCCGATAGATTTAGCATCTTTCAACTTTTTTAATAAAGACTTCACTTGATTTTCTCTTTGTAAAGTGACTTTAACTGGATCTCCATTAAGAGGTTGAAACTATGTAGTGTCAGATAAGAGTGTGTCCATTTTCTTTATGTAGTCGTCTTTGTTAAGTATTACGATGGCATTTCCTTTGTCAGGTTTAATGACGAGGATAGTTCTGTAGTTTTTTAAATTATTTAAAATGTTCAAGTCTTCTTGTGAGTATAGGAAAAGTGGTGGGCTGTAACTTCGGAAACCTGAGTGGGCAATGCCTTTTAATTTGCATTTGATCGAGTCTGGAAAATATACGTATGGTTCATTAACAGGTTCTCGTTTGAGACGGTTGTAGAGTTTTTCAAAGGGTGTTAGGAAGGTGCAACTGTTTAACTTTTTCGGTGGGATGGAAAAGTTTGAGCTTTTGAAAGGATTTCTTTCTCACTGTCAATAATGAGGCGTTTTGAGAAGTTGAACACCACTTTATCAGGGTCGATTGGGTTGTTGTTGTCATGTTTGAATGTGAGACGGAAAAGTTTGCGATCTTGGATATGTTGATGTTGCGTTAGTTTTCTTGAATTTTCCCCGATCGGAGAAATTCTTAGGGTGTATAAAGTCAATTTTGGAGATTAGTAACGCCAGGTTGGAGTGTGCTTGTGTTAGTTGTGCTGAGAGGACGCGTATACGATCGCGTTTCCCGTTTATTTCTTCTTGAAGGAGTTTATTTTGGCATTGGCGATAAGCGCTAGAGTTTTGTAAGCGACGACAAGCTACTTTGAACCACAAGAATCTAGGTATCACAGAGTGTAAATAAAATAAAATAGAATGCCCATCTATTTTTGTCTTCCTTTCAACGGCATACACTCCCTTCAAATTCGCACACAAATCAACAGCCTTTGTGCTGCAGCCTTCTCACATATATCTATTAAATTTTTTTCCCGCCCTTCCCAACGTATCTCTTCTTTCTTACCCTTTGAGGACAAAATTCCAAACCTCTGACATCTGGTGTAGTCCATTTATTCAAATGTCGAAGCTGCAATGCCTCGTATGTGGGTCAAACCACACGTCATCTACACATCAGTTTTCGGAGCACTTGGGAATATCCCCCCTTACAGGCAACCAAGTTTCCCACCCTGCGTTGTCAAGCATTTTTGCTCACATTAACGCAACTGGACACACCCCCATTTTAGACGACTTTAAAATAATCTCCTCTTCTAACGATTCTTATGAACTCTCCATTCATCAATATTGTTGCAAATGAGGTGGTGCCAGGCGGGAAACGGATTCTCAATATAAATATTTGTGTATATATTTGTACAAATATTTACACTTTCTTACAAACGCAACTTAATCTCTGGCCTATTACACCGCTTTTTCAAACTCTGCTCTAGTTATGAGACTTTTCATGCCCAAATTGAACCTCCAGAAAACTATTCAAACTCGATTGCTATCCAACTAATATGTTCGATCACATTGTCCATCGTTTCCTTGACACAAAATTCGAACAGAAACCACCTGTCCTTAGTGTCCCAAAGAAAATAGTGTATTTCTGTCTCCCATTCACCGGCTGTCACTCGTTGCAAATCCGCACACAAATCAATCGTCTCTACAACGCTGCTTTCCCTCATCTCAATGTCAGATTCGTCTTCCGTACCCCCACACGACTCTCTTCATTTTTTCCCGTTAAGGACAAAAATTCCCAAGTACCTGAGACCTGGTATTGTTTATTTATACACGTGTCGATGCTGTTCCGCTTCGTACGTTGGTCAAACCACACGCCACTTACACACCAGAACCTCGGAACACTTGGGGATCTCTCCTTTGACTGGAAAACGCAAACCAACCCATTAATGTCAAGTATTCTTTCACATAGAAACTCCTCCAACCACCCTGCTTCGCCAGACGATTTTAAAATCATCTCATCCTGCTCCGTCACATTCGACCTCATGATCCACGAAAGCCTCCTCATCTCCAAACTAAAACCTTCACTTAACACCCAAGGTAGCTCCATCTCTCTTAAGCTTTTCTAGTCTCAACACCTCACCCAAACAATACATCACACTTACATCACACGTACATCACACTTACATCACACAATACATCACAATCACATCACACCTACACATTCACAGTAACCTGATACCTCAAACTATGTAAATAGCTCAATATATATCTATATTCTTGTTAACTTCCTAATTAGTCTGAAGATGTCTTGAGTAAAGACGAAACGTCACTCTTTTAATAAATTTCATAAAACCAAATTGTTTATGACTATGTTTAAAATTATTTGTTGGGCTCTAATATTTATATTGAGAACTCTCCATTCATGAAAGCCTTCTAATCAATAAATACAAGCCTTCACTTAATGTGTAAGGAAACTCCATTCCACTTAACATCTTTTAATTTCCTTTTAGTTTACTTCCTAACTTCCTTATCATATATCCATTTGACACCGCCTCCTTTAGTAGTAATTTAACACCTTTTTGTAAATATAATATATTGTCTTTACATCCTATTTATTATTTGTCTGAAGATGTCTTGAGTAAAGACATAACGTTACAATAAATTTAATTTTACAATTTGTTTTTTGCTCTATTTCTATGGCTCTAATCAGAACTTTATGTTGGGCATTAATTTTTATTACACGAATCCGATTTCCACTCGGCAAGTCAATTGCTACTATTATGCAGCTGTTTCACACTTTGCAATTTATTTTGCAAGATTATTGTCGCTATTGCGTCTAAGATTCCAACTTCTAGGTTCTATGTATTACAACATATCGGTGCCAGACAGTGTTAGGATGAAATTTCTGTCTTCGGTACCATGACGTGCAAGGCAATTAAGAAATTGATAGCAACTACTACATTATTTTGATGGATATCAGACACTGACCAAAGTCTGCGGCAGAAATTGCAATTTCACGTGTTCACAATGACAAAGGCGATTTTTTTTCTCGCGCGTGACACTCTCGACCAATAAAACTGCAGGAAATTGAAATTAGAAAATTGCTAAATAAGAATTTAATCTAGTACATGGAGGATTTGAGTTAGTTGAACATCATTACTTGGATTGAAAGTGCCCTCCGAGTGCAGTGTTACAAGGTTTATTGCTCAATCGTATAGTGGCAAAATAAGTGGTACGTAGTTATCATAAGATTTATTATGATCGACCTTACTTTATTTTACTATTTTCAATTATTTTATTGCCACATTTGGCGCTCTGGGGACATTGGATATTTGATAGTAGTCTATGTATGACACTCGTAACCGTAAATTGTGCAATTGGCATAATAATCAATGGTGTATACCGTCGAGTCGTTGAATTTCCATTTTGCTTTGTACTGACAATGTGGTCAGTCATTGAAATTTTATACAATTTGCGGATAAGACTCTCGTATTTTTACACACCAACTTACTTTTCCGTACCAGACATTGGCAGGCACAAAACAATGCCATCTTTATTACATCAACATTATGCATTGAACATTGCTCTTGTCTTTTCATAATTAACAATAAATCTTCGGGTAAATATTCTACAACGCACGCAAAAAGTTTCATGCAGAATTGATTCGATGTAAAAATAAGTTGCAAAGCACTCACTACGTTCCTTGCACATGCCAATGTCTGACTAGATATAGTCGCTATATAAAGTCAAAAGTCTATTGAGGTCGCATGGAAAAGTAGCGCTCAATTCATTGCTGTGAATGAAAGGAAAAGAAGCTCAATTTCAGTATTGTGAATGTCTCTGAAGCCAGTAAATTATTTGTGACTCACAGAAAAACTAAAATATCACCTTACTCAAATTAAAATTAAAATCGAAATGTAATAGACAAAAGAAGTATGCTCGTTAATACGAATACATGTAGCGCAATCTCCTGGTTGTCAAAATTAATATCCAGTTAAAAAAATTTGGAAAATCGATAGCGTGATTCTTTTGAAACTTTGATTAGGTCAATGTGATTTGTTCTAAAACTATAAATTTTATAAAAGGCAGCCCAGCTGAAGTCTAGAGATGTGAGCATTAGCTACTTTTTAAGCGAACCGAAATTGAATCGAATCCAAAATAACTTTATCGTTTTACAGGCGAGGTAGCTCAATAGATTGAGTGACGGTCTACTATCCAAAAGGTTCTAGTTCAAATCTCGTCCAAGTAACATGTTTTTCATGTGCATATAAAAACCGTGTTTAGATTAATATTGCGTTATTGTGTTTAATCTATATAAGATTTAATTTAGTAGTAAGTGTGTCGAAGCGTAGATCAAACCATGCGTCATTTACATATCACACTTAAGTATCAAAAAATTTGGGAATCTCGTTCTTTGCAAGAAAACCTTCATACATCTTTAATCCTCAAATCGACTTTATATATTCCTGCATTCGTCCATTTACAAACCACTTGTCACTCTACTGATTTTGGCTACATCAAAATTATGTCATTCTCCTTCAACACATACAAAATATAAACTATATGTAATCTGTCAACGAGAGTAACTAATTAATTGTTTTAGAACAATCATACTAGTATTCGTAAAGCAAAGGTTTCTTATAGTTTTCCTTAATTTGTTGTCGTATGCATTTGTTGTTGTTGACATCGTTTATAAATCCGTGATGCTCATTTGCATGTCTCGTTTTCTCGATGACGTGTTTCAGCGGGGAACTTTAATTAGTTCTGTCTAGATTTACCTTCTAAAATAAAGAATGAAAATAAGACAGCGGGTAGAGTAGCCAATCAAATCAAAGCATTTGCAATAGAATACTAGTATGAAAATATTCTTTTGTTAACGCTCAATTTTAATATGATATGAATACTAGTAGAGACGGTACGAGTTTGGTCCCAGAACTAACCAGAGCTCTTACTAGTGTCAATTAGTTCCCAGTCCGTGAAAGTAAGCCGGGTGCGCGCGTGTCAACCGGAAAAAGAGTAAGTTTGCTAGTGAATGGTTGACTTGAAAGAAATTTAAAGAAACATTTGATATTAACGAAGAGTGCGAGGCTATAGGAGAACAGCATAAAATTATACAAATAAATTGTTGAAGTCTTATGCTAAAGAAATAGGGGACATAATATCAAGACTTGTTGCTAAAGACTGTTGCGGCTGCAGTGTAAATCATCATTCGCAAAGACGACATGAATGTATGATGATGCCAAAGAATGAAAGAATATTGTTTTACTTTGATAATGATACATTGGAAATTGATATAGAAGATGCAATAAAATCGTTCTTTGATATTTTAAGTGACCTTAGACCTAAAGTAAACAGGTTAGAATTGATCAAGTATACGTGCAAGGACTGAAAATATAAGTTAGCACGATGTTAAATTGTAAGAGGGCATGTATGTTAAAAAAATACAAACTACATCAAATCTTCGTGAAACCTGGAACTATAATTCAACAACATTCGATAGTTGAACATGCCATTAAAAGTAGCATCCGGAATTCCTTTGTTTTAGTGTGAGATGATTAATCGCTATGCAAAATAGCAACGCGTTATAGATCTTCTAAAAATATCGAAAGTCGTAAAATTCTGATTAGCTCTGCTTAATGAATAGTTGGCAAGGAAAGAACAATCAACTGACAACTGCATGTGTTTGCCTCTTGTGCGAAAAAGAATTTGCCCAATCCTGCCCACTGCCTAAACGGAATTTGCAAATTTCAGTTATCGACTGTCCGATACTTTTAAAAAAGAGAAAGCCAACACTCTTTGGTCAACAGTATCGTTTGCCATAAAAACTGAATTATCTCAAAAACTTTCGATAATCGCGGTTAATGAAAGCAAAGAAGCGTCAGTGCTATATGCTCATTTGTATATTGAAAACAACATTTTGAATCTGGTGCTTAGCAATGGCTTGTTCATGAGCATTTAACTTCTTCAATTGTGAGGAACCAAGCATTCCAAGTAAATCATTTTCATCTTTTTCCACGTTTTTGTTTTCATTTTGATGCCTAAGTGCTTTTTGCATTGTACGAGGAAACTGTATTTCTTCTTGCTCAACATCAACTTTTGTCTTTGACCAATTTTTATGTGAAGTTGTATCAGATATATCAGTAATCTTATCATGAAATAATTCATCTGGCTAAATTTGTTGACAGTCATTGTCCTCATTTAGTAAGCTGACATGCTCAATTTTATTATCAGTTAATAGACTACAATTACTTGTCGAGCTGCTGCTGGTAGTTGATACTGACATATTAGTTTTTGTTGCTCTAGCCTTTATGTATGGTACTGACCACTGTAGAAAATTATAGTCCCCCAACTTTGTTTCAGGGGAAACAACAACTGAAAGAGATGTTCCAGATTTATTTACTTTTTTGAAGTCGTTTCCTCGCTTGCTGAATCTTTTTTAAATTTTCAAACAATCTCTTGGCTCGCTCACCTTTAAGTAAAAAAATATATCCTATACAGTATTAACATTTTTTGACATGAAAAAGCATTAAATCTAATTAGTGTTTGTTTTAGAGTAGACGTAAATAAAAAAATTTTGATAAATTTAAAGCTTTATATTTTATAGTAGATCCCTACACCTTTGAATGCCACTTGAGCACACCTATATTTTGTTTACATTGTTTTACCTTCCAATAGATTCAGATTTTCTACCAATTTTGCCCTACCATTTGCCACGACAAACTTGTCTTTATAATCCTTACATGTTTTTCATATAAGCATGGGAACTTACGCACTTCTTTAGCCAACTTTTTATCAAATTTAATAGTTTCTGGATTAAGTGATTGAACACATGTTGAATCCGCCATCTTAAATTCCTAAATTTTCAATCAAAAAGACGTCATTTTGGCGATTATTGCGATCATTACCACGTACTCATATGGAATTATCGTGATTAAAGTTAATCGCGGTCGCCTTTGTTGCGTTAAACCAATAGTGCAAACCAGGCTTTATAAGTAGTTATGAGCTATTGCTCATCTTCTCATAAGACCAATAAAGATTCAATCTTGACTGATGCTATTACCATTATTCTATCTGTATGATATTTAGCGAGTTCTTCTGAGTCATGAGACAAGAGCATAAGTAGTTTTTAGCAAGAGCTCATCCGTGTATTAGGTGGTAAAGATCGTGTTTCTCTTTTGCAAATACATTTGCCCATTTTTTCATAAACTTGTCAAAGTACATTACAAATTTGAGAGCGTCTGATATGCCATGCCACACATGTTCTCGATTGATTACATTCAGTGCACGATCAGCAAAAAGAACCATCGATCTTCCTCAGCCAACATTTCTGAACAATTTTCGTGATCTTTCCAAAGGTCAGGTTGACTTCCATCGTTTTCATGTCTTCATAAATCTTTTTACGGAGAAATTCCACCACAGTTAAATTGATAAGATCACAGTATTCAATTTCTTCTAAAACTTTTTAAGGTGTCCGCATACATTTGATCAAACAGGTGTCCCATATTTCTTTTTTATTTTCAATCGCCAGTCAATAAACCAAAGCCGAACAGCAACAGTCAACGTAAACAGCATTTTCGAAAATGAGTGCTTTTTGGGTGTTTTATTGAATGAAGTACCATTTAAATTTTCACATATCATCCAGGACTTCCGCTTTTACTCTGTAGCTAATACGTACAGTATAGGGACCCTTTGATCGTTAAAGTAGCTAATAAAAATTGATGCTAAGATTTACAATGTTCTCGTATTTTCAAAATATAAACGCTTACGTATATTTATCATTGCGAGGAAAAAGAGAAATAAAATTTAATTTGAGGTTTAAATGTTTGAGCTGTATACAGGTGCACTTTTTCATGGTCTTGCATGTAGTCAATTATCAATGTTCTCCAATTTAAACTAAGAAAATAATCCTATAAATTGTCCGGATGCCATATTACATCTTTGCATTTCTTCCATTTTAATGCCTGTTTATTGGGAAAAACAACAAGCAGCGTTTGGTCTTCTCCATTCCACTTTCCATTGAAACCTACTTTAAAGGTAGAAAACGAGCAACATGTTGCCAGCACCTGATCCATGTTCGCACAAAGACAGGCCTTTATCAAAACTTTATCTGTTATCCATTTCATAAAGTCTGATATATGTTTAAGAAAACTGCTTAAGCTGCCAGACCTTTCAAGTTGACATACTTCTTTTTAAATTATTTTTGAGAAGGAATCTTTTTATTTGACGACTGCCATGTTTATCGCCATTTACATCTGTTTTATTTCAACCCGTTACATTTAACTTTCCCCTTTTTCTGGTTGACACTCGCTCGCCCGGTTTACTTTCACGGGCTGAAAACTAATTGGTAAAATACGGGTAAGAGCTCTGTTTACTTCCGGGACCATACCTGCACCCTTTCTACTAATATTACCAAATATTTAAGAAATGAAAGATGTTTATTGTGTTTGCATAGGCTTATGTAAATCGAGGAGACCTATGAGAGAGCTTGAAAGCATATCAGTACAAGCTCGAAACCGAAGGTCGACGGTTGCATCTGCTCGAGAGTTCTCACAAACGTTTCCGAGTTTTGCATAAGCCATTGCAAACACGAAAACCATCTTTTATTTCTTTTAGAAAATAGCAATAACGAAAAAATGACAAAAATTTTTATTTCTCACCTAAAATGTATTCATTTGCAAATTGTTTTTGACTGATTGATTGTTTTGAATGATTTTATTGGTTGAGCTCAGATGTGTTCTGCATAAGCTAATTCAAGCACGGCCATAGACCAATCACTGCACGCGTTTTATTGTATTTATTTTATAAATATATATGATTAATAGATTGGTTGAGCATTGAAAAAGTATTTTTACGATGACATAAGATAAAACAAAATAAATTCAAACATTCCTTTTTTGTTATTCATTTCGTAACTGTTTGTATAAATATTAACAAGCTTTATCGAATGCGATGCGTAGGACGACAATTACGAAGTACGTTATTTTGGTGGGACTTCTTAGTGTCGGAAGAGTGTGAGAAAAAAATCAAAGCTCGCTTATTTTTATAGGTCAAACTTCAAGATGCTGTTGGAAATATTGTTGTCTGTAGTGGTAGTTTACCTGGTATCTTACGTCATTCAAACTTGGCTCGAATGTAGAAAATTACCACCGGGTCCCATACCCCTCCCTTTCATTGGAAATTTACATCAAGTGGGGAAAAAGCCTCCATTTTCCTTAGAGGCACTTAGCAAGAAGTATCCTCATGTAATGAGGCTAAAATTCCCCTTTGGTTACTGTATTTTTCTTAACAGTGTAGAAGCTGTGCGAGAGGCCATGCTGACCAATAAAACTGACTTTGCTGGTAAACCAACTGAACAATTTTACCCAACAACTGTCATAATGGAAGAACGAGATATGGGAACTATAGATTACGGGCCAGCTTTTGTATTTCGCTCAAAGGTTTTTAAAAATGCCCTTCATTTATTTGGAACTCAAACCAAAGTACTCGAAAAGCGTTTTAACGACATCGTTATGTCTATGTTCGAAAGGCTAGACAACCTTCTTGGGAAAACATCAATTTCAATAAAGTCTTTGAAAGTACAATCTTTGCACTTATGTGGGAGTGGCTTTCTTCTGAACGGTTACCGCATGATCATCATAAAATTCAAGAAGTCATAGATTTCATAGAAAAATCTAACTATTTGGGTCGCCAAGGAAGCTATTATCAGCTTTTTCCCATATTGCGTTATCTGCCGAGCAATTTCAAGAAATGTCTCCAAGAAGTGCTTGACGCCAGGTATAAGCTGTTTGGTGAAGTCTATGAAAATCACAAAGCTACGTACAAAGATGGAGTAGTTCGCGACATGACAGATGCAATGATTTTGTCTTACTTCAATGAAGAGAGTAAGGGTAAAAATATTCATGGGACACTTGATGACGTAATGTTCTTAATAATTGACGTAATGGCTGCAGGCGCTGAGACTAGTATCTCTACTTTAAATTGGTGTGTCTTACACTTGGTGCTCAACGAAGATAAACAAAACAAAATACACGATGAGTTGGATAGATGTATGGAAAACGAGACGATGCCAAAAATTGCTGATTTGAAAAAATTCCATTATTTGAATGCTTTTGTTTCTGAGGTCTTTCGCTTGACCTCAGTTCTTCCGTTTTTCCCGCCACATCGTACCTTGCGCGATACGACTGTTATGGGCTACAACATACCTAAACACATGATGGTCCTCGTTAACAACCATTGCATCAACAGCAATCCACTTAATTGGAAAGATCCAAGCACTTTTGATCCTGGACGTTTTCTTGATGACAATGGCGATTTTGTAGGATGGACTAAGCACGAGGTCTTTATACCCTTTGGTCTGGGACACCGAGCCTGTCCAGGAAAAGATCTTGGTAAGCTTCAGCTATTAACGATTCTTGCCTCTTTTCTGAAATGCTACCATATTAAGTTTTCTGAAAATCAAGAGGTGCCTCCACTGCAAGATCCTGTTATGGGCGCAACCACACGTCCAAAAGACTACTTGGTAACTTTTGCAAAACGGAAATGACATGTAGAGTTAGTATTTTTTTTAATTTTTTACGATTCTCTACAGTCTATATAAGAAATCTTGTAAAAATATGGATTGTTTATTATTCCAGGAGTATTTTGTAACTCAACAATTAATAACACTTTGTTTCAAATTGTGTGCATCGACTACCCATTTAGGTTCCAATAAAATTAAAATTTTCGGGCAACAAACATCATTTTCCTTTGCTGAAAAGTAGCGAGTTAAGCAAAGATCCTAACTCTTAGGAATGTCCTTGCCTGCAAGTTTAGAAGGCATGTGTAAGCTTATGAAATCAGCATCTGATTGGTCAAAATCATGTTTTACGACATTTTGCATGTCACATCAAGCCTTTATTTTTTAAAAAATTCAGTGCGGTGTGTGGAAATCCTATAGAGCAGCAGAGCAAAACCTCCTTATAACTATGTATGTCGAGTCTGTCGATACCTGAAGATAAATTTGGAAAAAAAATTTTATGAAGATGACTTTGTTTTTTTCCAACATTATGTTAGCAAGGGTTTATCAAGCAAAGTTGAAGATACTTAGGTTTCTATTTACCACGAACTAATGGCGTTAATGCGATCTGACGGAAATTGTTCACAGCAGAACTTTTATGGTATAGTGTGTTCGTTGACTTGTTATCGCAATGCTAACAATGAAAATTGCATTGCCATTGCATACTTGCAGTGAAAGAAATCACTCTTGATTAGTTGCAATTAGGCTTGCAAATTTCAAATACTTACAGATGATCGCCATGATGATGTAAAATAGCACCATTGATTTATTAAATACAAACCGTCTTTTTTTGAAGTAGAAAACTTTCTTTACATATTTGGCAGGCAGTACACCCAAAAGGAATAAAAATTTTTTCGTTGCTTTAATTCAGTTGTATTTTCCAAAACAGACCATTTTGTGTGCCTGTGATCTGTGGTCACCAAAATATGGAAACTTTGTTATTATCATCATTATCTAAACTTTGTATAAAATTTATAAACGGATTTAATGCTCTTTTACATAATTTATGACTCCCAAACCTGTGGCGGCACTGCAGCATCAAGAATTCAAGGGCATAAAAATAAGTTTTTTCTACGACTTTTAAATCATTTTTTTCATTCAATGCAATTAAAAATTGTTTGAAAAGTTATTTTTCTGCCACTTTGGTCTTTTTTAAAGTTGTCTCCCATCACTACTCTAAAATCAATGACATCAACTGAGCTGGTTTTGGATGCTGATTATTTACTGTAGACATCCATGTCTCAACTGTTTTCTACTTAACAGTTTGTTTAGATATTTGTCATGTACCATACTGTGAATATCGTTTGAGACTGTATTTATTCAGCTGGTAATTTCCCTTCGAATTTGTTGCAGGATGAACCTGCACAAGACTACACAGGTAATAGGTAGTGCAGTTTCTTTTGTTTATGGAAATATTTGGTAGCATCCAGCACCATTCATCGTTAACTTCAAGTTCTGCTCAGTTATAAATTTTAATTTGTCATAAAGGTTGACTAGCCTCATTTTTCATAAATTAAGCACAATATTGGGTTCATTATCATATGTATTACTAAGACAGAGGTCGAGAGAAATATCGTTTTCCACTTTCTAAGCCAATCAAAAGTCTGACTCAATCCAAACATAATTTTTGCATTCTACTTTTATGACTTAGTCATTAAAGTTTTTTTAATGTAACCTGGCTTAATAAGTTTATTCTAACACCAAGTTCTTTATTCTTTACTGTAATCAAAAGCCATGCCATTTAAAAATAACTCATATCATGTTCGAGCAGTGTTGCTCAAGCATCAAATTCAATGTAAGACCCTGAATCTGCTGTTGCCCCGAAGAGAAAACATTTGCCTTTAAATTTAAAAATATAGAATTGAGTTACTTTTGAAATTGAGAGACGTATTACGTTTTTGCATCTGCCAAAACGTCAGAAAAATCCAAACGCCAATAGCAGGAAATGAAAGAAAATTTAGCAAGCTAAAACATTTAAAACTGCTTTTCAAAAGTCCATGTCACATCATTGATTGTAAAACTCAATTTTTTAAACAGTTAAAGAGACATTTACCGAATATGTGTGTAAGGTAATTTTTTATGACAGTTTATATATATTGTCATTATTGAAAAATGGATACTTAGGTTTTTTTGTAGATCGCCTTGTTCAATATCTTTTATATGAGTTCTCCTTAATCGGGTAATGACTACATACTTATTCATGATAAATTTTCAGTTAACTTATTTGTAGGGCTAAGCAAACACCTGCTCGTTCTTTTGGGACATTTTAACTTTTATTTATCTATTTAATAAAGAAAAATATAAATATTAGAGCCCAACAAATAATTTTGAACATAGTCATAAACAATTTGGTTTTTGGTCAAATTTATTAAAATAGTGACGTCTCGTCTTGACCAGAAGAGGGATGGGGCTGCCTCGGGTGTTAAGTGAATGTTTTAGTTTCGAGAAGAGGAGGCTTTCGTAGATCATGAGGTCAAATGAGTTAGCGCAGGATGAGAAGAATTTGAAGTCATCTGGTGAAGCAGGGTGTTTGGAGGAATTACTATGAGAAAGAACACTTGACATTAGTAGGTTAGTATAGCGTTTTCCAGTCACAGGAGAGATCCCCAAGTGTTCTGAGATTCTGGTGTGTAAGTGTGTGTGGTTTGCCTCAAATACGATGCGGAACAGCATCGACATGTGTATAAATAGTCAACACCAGATCTCAGATACTTGGGAATTTATCCTCTTGATTCGTGTGAAGGTTCGAAAGACGAATCTAACATTGAGTTGGGGGAAAGCAGCGTTGTAGAGACGATTGATTTGTATGCGGATTTGTAAAGAGTGACAGCCGGTGAATAGGAGACATAAGTACACTATTTCTGTGGCACACTAAGGACGGATATTGTTTCTGTTCCAATTTTGTGTCAAGGAAACGACGGACATTGTGGTCAAACATATTTGCTGGATAGCAATTGAGCTTGAATAGTTTTCTAGTTGTTTCATTTGGGCATGAAAAGTCTCATAACTGGAGTAGAGGTTGAAAAAGCGGTGTAATAGGCGAAAGATTAAGTTGCGTTTGTAAGAACGTGGGATATAGCTGTGAAAGTTTGTGAAAAGACCGGTGAATGTGGGTTTGCAATATGCAGAGGTGGTAAATGTAAATGTCTAAAAATGGCAGTTGTCCATTATTTTCTGTCTCAGAGGTGAAAGTGATGTTGGGGTGTTTTTGGTTGATGTAATGTAAAAAGAGAAGAAAGTGATCAAGTGATTTAAAAAGGGAGAAACAGTCATCGACATATCTTCTGTAGAGAATAAGTTTGAATTTATGAAGGCAGTTTTTCATGCAGTTTTTTGTTACAGGATTTTTAACTAACCCCCTTTCAGCGAAGATAAACTGAGTTTAAAATGCAAAATCATGTATTATGCACAATTTTTACGATGTTTTTGTAATTAATAAGAGAGTTGGTTAAAAACGTACAAAATTTGTCTTATTTTAACCAACCATCTTTTAGTGAGGAAAAACTGACTCTAACATACAAAAACATTTATTATGTACTAGTTCTGCGATATTTTTGCGATTAAAAAGAAAGTTGGTTAAATATAAACAAAATTTGTCTCATTTTAAACGAACCCATTTTAGTGACGAAAAACTGAGTTTAAGATGCAAAAACATGAATAATGCACTATTTTTGCAATATTTTGTAATTAACAATAGAGTTGGTTGAATATGTACTGATGCAAAAACATTTATTACATACTATTTTTAAATGTTTTTGTAATTAATAAGAGAGTTGGTTAAATATCTACAAAATTTGTCTTATTTTAACCAACCCCCTTTTAGTGTAGAAAAACTGTGTTTAAGATGCCAAAACATGTATTATGTACTAGTTCCCTCCCCTCCTCGGGTATATTGTTAAAAAGGCACTGCAATCCTGTGCAACACTACAAAAAATTAGTGGAGACCCGTTAAAAGAAGCTTTGCAACGTGAAAATCAAGTGAAGTTTAATTAAAGAATTTGAAAGATGCTAATTCAATCGATCACGAAGCGTATAATACGTACGGTTCACAAATTGGAATACTGTATCGTCTTCTTAAAATTCATAAATGTAATATTCCTATTTTTCCATTTATCACTATTCATGTAAACTTGCGAAATTTTTTATCCCACTCATAAAACACCAAAAGCAACCTCGTCATCAAAGAGTTCTTCTCCTTTAATGAAGAAAGCCTTTATTGCAATATAAGTTGTAGCAATGTTGTCAGTTTTGACATGGTATCTTTGTTCACCAACATACCCGTAAATGAAACCTTCAGTCATTTGTAAATAATCATCCCAAATGTCTAGTGAGTGACAGTTGTAATACTTAATTAAAGTTTTCTGCAGTTTTCAATAAATTCAAAATGGCATTTCTAAAAGTGATTTAAGTAAAATTATAATGAGCACTAATTCATGCAGCTGTTAGATTCGTCGGTACATAAAATTGTTTTCATCAACAGCAACTACTGTAAATAAAACAGAAGTCAAGTTCTTGTAATGCACATGATGGGTGTATCTAATTTCTTATATTTAAAACAATTTCCTTTGCATGCATATCTATTATGCAGCTGTTTCACACTGCGATTTATTTTGATAGATTATTGTCGCTGTTGCGTCCAAGATTCCAAATTCTAGATTCTATGTTTTACAACATATCGGTGCCAGACAGTGCTAGGATGAAATTTCTGTCTTCGGTACCATGACGTGCAAGGCAATTAAGAAATTGATAGCAACTATTACATTATATTGATGGTTATCAGGCACTGACCAAAGTCTGCGGCAGAAATTGCAATTTCACGTGTTCACAATGACAAAGGCGATTTCTTTACTTGCACGTGACACTCTCGACCAATAAAACTGCAGGAAATTGAAATTAGAAAATTGCTAAATAACAATTTAATTTAGTAGATCGTGGATTTGAGTTAGTTGAACATCATTACTTGGATTGAAAGTGCCCTCCGAGTGCAGTGTTACAAGGTTTATTGCTCAATCGTATAGTGGCAAAATAAGTGGTACGTAGTTATCATAAGATTTATTATGATCGACCTTACTTTATTTTACTATTTTCAATTATTTTATTGCCACATTTGGCGCTCTGGGGACATTGGATATTTGATAGTAGTATATGTATGACACTCGCAACCGTAAATGGTGCAATT